TCAGTCCTGTTTTACCACAGTGGCACCATGCAGTATTTGTCCTTTTGTGACTGAGATATTTCACTCAGCATAATGTCCTCCAGGGTCACCCATTTTGAATGAGTTCCTTGTTTTTCAATGCAGCGTAGTATTCCATTGTGTGAATATACCACAGCTTCTCTATCCATTCATTTGTTGACGGGCACCTAGGTTGTTTCCAACTCCTTGCTATTGTGAACAAAGCTGCAATAAACACGGGTGTGCATACAATCAATATTCTTCAACAACATGGGCTCGTCAATTCTCTCTTCCTTACTAATTATCCAGCTTTTGAACATGTATGAGCCCAATTAAAGCAACCATGGCTTCAGTCAAGTGCACCTTAGTCTTCAGTGTGACATCTTTACTCTTTAACACTTTCAAGAGATCTGTGGCAGCGGATCTTCCCATTACGTGACCTCCTGACGACTGCTGCCATGGACCGCGATTGTCTGTCCCAGTAATATGAACTCCTTGACAGTTTCAGTGCTTTCTCTACCATAAGGTTGGTCATGGGCCCCCAGCTGTAGGGACTTTTATGTTGAGGTGGAATCCATCCTGGAAGCTGTAGTCATCAATCTCCATTAGTAAGTGCGTCAAGCCCTCGTCCCTTTTAGCAAACAGGATGGAGTCTTCTGCATGCTGAGGAGAGGCCATTAATAGATCCTCCTGCTGTGAGGGGGCACCTGCCCTGCCTCCTGGGCTGTTTGCTGAACACAGAAAACAAACAAACGTGATGGCCTGAGGCCTCTCCTGGTTCTTAACCGAGCTGTGCCCACCCTGATCCGTCTCAATAACTTCCTCTTGATTTAGGTACAGGTTCTTCAGGAAGATGATGGAGTGTTCTGGGATTCCATTATTCCAATGTTATCCGTAATTTGTTATGATCCAAACAGTTGAATGGTTTTTCATAGTAACACACAAGTAGGTTTTTTGGACTGCTAGGAAAACAAACAGATTCATCCTGGAAAGGGTTAAACCGAGCGGCTCCTTGGAGGCAAGGATTCTGAGGCTCTGTCAAACATACTTTGGACATGTTGCAAGGAGGGACAGGTCCTTGGAGAGGGACATCATGCTTGGTAGGGTGAAGGGACAATGCAAAAGTGGAAGGCCCTCTATGAGGTGGATTGATTCAGTGACTAGGGTAATCGGGATGGGTGTGTCAGAGGCAGTGCAATTGGCACAGAACAGAGCAGAGTTTAGGGCTGTTGTACATAGGGTCGCTATGAGTCGCAAACAACTCGACGGCACATAACAACAACAACAATACACAAGTAAGCAGCCTTCTGGTATTCTGTGCTCTCAGCCAAGATTCATCTGGCATCAGCAATGAAACCCCTCATTCCACAACCTCTTCTATGTGAATCTGAGTCATCACATAGAAATGATACTCTAATGAAGAGGTTAAAGGTCAATTAATCATTTGTGTGGAAGAGCTATGAATAAGGGGTGTGTGTGAAATCACAGAGGCTGTTGGTTCTGTCCAGGCGGTTTTATTCACTGACTCCTGTGTTATCCAGATAAGGGAAAAATTTCAGGCTAAAGTCTATTCATTTCTTTGTTTAGTAAATGATGAGGATTCCAGACAATACCCTAAAGACAAGGGGGGACCTCAAGTAAAAGTAATTTCATGGGTCTGTTTTATAGCATTTCGTGTTATATTTCTTATGCTATAGGTGAGCTAGAAGACAAATAAAATAATTTCTAAAATTAAGACCTTGGACAAAGTGCAGGAATAGATAATGTGTGACAATAACATGAAGAACTAACAGGAGGAGATTGTGTGTGTGTTATTAACATGATTTGTTGTAGATTTAAGTGACGCTACTAGACAGTGTACCCTTCAGTAGGGATTAACACTCAACATAAAGAAAGCAAAATCCTCACATCTGAATTCATAAACAACGTTGTATTGTTGTTGGGTTTTTTAAAAAAAATTCTCCTTATTTCAGATGTGCCTTTACGGATGTTGTTGTTGTGTGCCCTAAAGTCAGAACAGACCCATAGCTGACCCTCCAGTGGGCTTTCAGAGGCAGTTAATCACATGGGAGGAGACCGCCTATCCTTCTCCCGTGGAGCAGCTGCTGACCTTGAACCTCAAGCCTTTGGGATTGTAGTGCAGCTATTTGCTACTAGGCCACAAGAGCGCCTCTTAAGCAACATTGTAATAAACAGTAAAGGATGAAGCTGTCAAGAATTTAGTTCTAACTGGATCCACCATTAGGCTGGGGAAGGAACAAAGCATCTAACATCGTGCATTATTAGGCTGATACGCTGCAAAAGACCTCTCTAAAGTGTAAGAAAACAAAGTTACCACACTGAGGACTGTGGTACGCCTGACTCAAGCCAGGGGGTTTCATTCAGTAGCTTCACGTGCATGTAAAAGCTGGACAATAAATAAAGAAGACTGAAGAAGGATTCAACTCAACTCATTGCCGTCAAGCCAGGACCAACTCATAGCTGACTGACTGTCCAGTGGGTTTTCAGAGGCTGTAATTTGTATGACAAGAGATTGCTCATCTTTCCCCTGCAAAGCAACTAGTGGATTCAAACTGCCTACCTCTGCGGACTGGCACCAGGACTCTTTACCTAGTAGGTCACCAGAGCTCCCTGAAGAATTAACATCTTGGAATGGTAAAGTTTGGGCGTTGACAAAGATTATGGAATATACCATATCATGGGTCACCAAAAGAACGGACAAATCTGTCTTGCAGAAACTATGCCTAGACTCCTTCTTAGAAGGGAGACTGCCTCAGATCTCTCAATTAGTGTCCAGAAGAGCCCAGTCCCTTTGTTATGCTTGGTAGAGAGTAGGCAAAAAGGAGCAAGTCCATCAAGAAAGAAAACACAGTTGTTACAACACGGCAACATAGTGACACAATGGCTCTGACAGCAGGAGCAAACCTAGCAAGGACTGTGGGGATGGTGCAGGGCTAGGCAGTGTTGCCTTCTCTTGTTGGTGGAGTCACTGTGAGTTAGAAGATACTCCACAGCACCCGAAAACAACAACAAAATTACAAATTGAGAATATTAAATATCTTCCTCATAGTAACAGCACACTCAGATTTTCTTTTAAACTAAATAATATTCGGAAAAAGAAACAAGAGGAGAATAAAAATGGTTCACTACCTGGAGAGCTTATGCTGAGTGAACTAATGCAGTCCCGCAAGGATAAATATTGTATAAGATTGTTATTGTAGAATGAGTATAAGGATCCAGGAGGGGTGGGAGAGGCTGGAAGCACTAGAAGCAGAGGGATGTGGATATGTGCGGGGGAAGAGGGGATTAATCATTGGATTGCACAATTTGATGGGGGGGGTGAGGGAAATGGAAAGAATTTGTTCTAATTTGTATTAGAGTTTTGTAAATAA